CTGGACAGAGTGTTCTTCCCCCAACTATTTAAAGCCGCGACCGCCTTGGGTGAGTATACAAAGTATTATACCGAGAAGCGCATTAAAGACCGTGACGATCTGGAAACCGACAAAGAAGCGGTTGAGGACCGCGGGTACGAAGATATCCTAGCCCACCTAATCAACAACAAGGACGATGAGACCGGGAGCGTGTACAGTTCGAATGAACTTCTTGGTGAAGCTACACTCCTTATGATGGCTGGTAAGCGTTCGCATGAAATACAAGACGATGGTGATTATGGGTGTCTGACTTTATATGATTTCAGGGTCCGACACGTCCACGACGGCCATCAACACCACTTTGTTCTATCTTTCCAATCATCCTCGGGCCCTGAGGAAGTTAGAGAAGGAGCTCATCAGATGTTTCCCAAAGCTTGGAGACATCCATCCCAACACGGCCGAGAACTGCAAGTACCTGCGCGCCTGTCTCGACGAAGCTATGCGGCTCTGTCCTTCGGTACCCTCTAGTATTCCTCGCGTAGTCGGCGAGGGGGGCATCCGAGTATTAGACGAAGAGGTCCCTGCAGGACTGTGGGTGTCCGTGCCGCACTTTACCATCTTCCGCGATGCGCGGTATTTCGACCGGCCACACGACTACATCCCGGAGCGCTGGATTGTTGATGAGGAGGGCACTGGATACACCGCCGAGGACGTCAAGACGTCCCAGACGGCCTTTCAGCCTTTCTCGCTCGGGCCGAGGCACTGTATTGCCCGGAACCTCGCTCTGCGGGAGATGACGTTCGCGTTGGCGCGCATCTTCTATCTTTTCGACGTCGAGCCGGTACCCAACAGTGGACGCTGGATGGGCGATCTGCCCGGCATTGACACTAGAAATAGCCATTTCATCCATGAGCAGTGGGACGTTTTTACCTCTTTGGAAAAGGGGCCGGTAATGAGAGTCAAGGTGAAGGATGGCGTAGAGCCGCGTCTTTGAATTGAGAGCAGTGTCATATTTTGCCGCCATCTTGATTTGGGTTGAGTTCTCGGATAATCGAGCAAAGATACTGCTACGAAAGATTGATGACTGACAAGTAACTACGATACTTGAACAATAGGAGAGCGTTCATAAGGTTTATAGGATACTATAACAAGAGCTTTTAGTTAAGGGCTTGGAAGAATATTTTGTTCCTAATAATCTTCTACGGAGTCATAGGAGGCTTAAGGACTTAACCCCTTATGGTCTATGTGGAAGATCTATAGCTTGTATGTACGAGTGTCCTCGCTCTGATTTAGGTATCTTGGTTTCGTATAATTGCCTCACTTGCGTACAGTTGTTTCGGGGGCTATAGAATACCAAAAAAATATAAGGAGGCTGAAAGCTGAACGATTTGTATGACTATACTCATGGCCTAGTCATAAGAACATGTAGCAGATAATCTCTAGTGATGAATACGAAAAACAAAATGCTCAAAGCATATGCAGCGCAAACGATGCCGTTATTACGATTGTAGCAACACCGGGATACATACTTTCCGTTTAGGTTTTCCAAGCTATAATCGCTTCGCACCACGCATCCCTTCTTTATATGCACCCCAAGATGCCTTTTAACTTGCTTGCCCAGAGAGTAGGGTACGGTCGTGCGTCTTTTTAGTGGCTTCTTGAGCCGCCGCTATCGTGCGTAGCAAGGTCGCGAAGGTGGCTTAGCTCAATAGCCTCTCGCAGCTTAGGGCCCAAGAACTCCTCTAGCTTTCCGAAGTCTCCCATAATATTGGAGCCAGACTTGATGATGGCCACCGATTCAATGATCCTTCGTAGCGACGGGGTAAGGAGGTCTTCTAGCTTGTCGCCGCCGTGGACGCCGAGATGGAACAGATCTTCGTATGCTAGTTGGATCAAGCTAACTCTTTCCTGCAGCTGCTTATTCTATGTCGAAGTCCCAGACATGCTGTCCCAGAAACTTTCTCACAGGCCTTCCCGAATTTGGTCTTGGAGCGGTCGACTGATTCTTAACTTACATTGGTATGGAGTACAGGCACTTGCAGACCCCTGTCTTTCTTAAAGCATACACGACGTCCAAGATCTTTTCACACTCTTACGTTATGGTCAGTCACAATGGAAAGGTTCTGACACTTTTGGCCTTGCCGATAGAGAGGTAACTGAGCCAGCCTCTAAGCATCCATAACGTTGATCGGCTGTTTGCGTATGCCTCTGAGCTCTACCTCATTTATCACTTCTATAAGAGCATTCCAGCATCGCTAAGTTGCACCGGTACTGTTCATTGGCGTCCCCAAGGTGCTCCTGGCCGGAAATTCCTCCCGAATGTCTTTCTCGATTGCTTTGTCACTGCGAATCTCGTCTACTTTGGGGATTTCGAACGGAATCTACACTCCATCGTAGCATAAAGCTTTTAGCATACAGGGAGGAAGTAGAAATGTGCATTAGGTGCAATAGGTGATGTCCGCGTGATGCGAGGTGTTGTTTGCAGTGATTATGCGGTAGGTCAACAGGTTAGATCAACATGTCCTCCATGCTGCGGATGAAGTCCAGCCCTAAGCCATCCTCTCGTTCCTTTTCCCTATTCTCCCTATTCTTCTCTCGCGTAGAAGCTATATCCATTATATCTACTGGCTTGTAGCGATAGTTCGTCTCAATCACGCGGAGCTTTCGTCCACATTTGAGCGCTCTGTGATCATTTTCCTTCACGAATTGGGCCAATTTATCTGCGCTATTGAAACAGACTAAGTAGCGGCCACACCGGCAATCTTTATCCTGAGGATGGCCATTAATGTGTTTTCCATCTTGGCCAATGGCCTCAATAGAATACTCGCTGAAAAACTCTTGGACCCTCAGTGGGCTACGGATCTCAGAGCCAGGGCACTTGCGATCCTGCATGCGAAGAACAGCCCTATTTCATTCCCAAGAGTTAGAAACGTCTCACCAGGGAACTCTGGAGATCAATTGGCAATTTTGGAGTGGTTAGTATTCATTGCCCATAAAGGTCGTTGAACGAGAACCATTGAAGCAAGGTATAAAGAGGCCTTGATGCTCACCTGAAGGGGTAATTCTCAATAATTAACCGCTTAATTCTAAGTAAGCTTCCTTTTCGCGTCTGTTTAAAACCATTGTACGTCTGTTGAGTTTGTGGCCGCTCGTCACGGAGCTGATCCAGCCGTAATCTGAAGCCGGAAGTAGGTGTATGGGCGAGGCAAGTGAAGAGGGCTAGAATGCGGACAGCATCGTTGCCTGCACAATGCCTAAAAGACGTAGGTTGGTACCCTTTTCCAAACGCATATCCTGCCATAGCGACAGACATCGAAGGTAGATAACAATGATCGGTCGGGGTTCCAGCTAGTCGGTCCACCTCCCATATGATGGGTTGAATGTCGACCCAGGCTGATATATACTGGACGACGGCAGGCATCTGGTGGAACAGTGAGTTGAACTCTGTGTTCATGGCGAAACCAATGAAGGTGAGGTGTTGAACATGAGAGGCTTTTCTAATGTACTCCAAGAATTCGATCATCTTGGCTTCAGCTACATCAATGTCAATTTCTTGTATGGTAGCTTCTTGGAGACGCCATTTGAAATGCTCCCTGTGCATTTTTCCCTCCTGCTGTCCTTGGGACCGGATCTTCAGACAACGAAATGAGACATTGTGGCTCTCGGCGAATTCTTTGATGTCGGCAGGTCTCTCGTGGCCTATAGAAGGCAGAAATGCCATACCGATCTCGGTAATACGTCTATCTGGATAAGATTCGATATCGAGGGACACAAAGGTGGTCGTTGCCTGCAAGTGGCTCTTGAGCGCTGCAAAGTTGCTGATTCTCCTCGCCCACAGCGATCTGTATTTTTTTGTACGTCCCCATTCCGGGATTCTCGTGGACAGCTGCGGGATGCCAGCAGCTTGAGAATTCGGGGCTGTTGGCGAATCTGACTGCATTGTCGCACCTGCGGAAACGAAACGAATGAACGAGAGTGTGGTAATATTGCTACTGAGGTAGGCTTGGCACGTTGTAGTGCTGAAAAGGAAGCGCGAGTGTTGGCAAGATCCGAGCAACGTTGGAACTGGTCATAGGTTGTGGGAACTAGCTGTAATGTATGCCAGCGGAACGATTTAAATATTGAGAGGAAACTAACTTCCAACCTCTGGGTTGGTACCTAGGTACTTATAGGACAATGCCTTGCAAATGTGCGTAGCCATTTAGGTAGGTTAGGAAGCACCTTACCTAAACTTTCCCGCAAATGTTAATCTGAGAAGATAAAAGCTTCAATGTTCGGGTCCCCCCTAAGTCGCGTAAGTATCTACATGGGTACCCTATGCGCTACATGTACCTACATGCGTACCTTGTAGAGTGAAGACATGCAGGCACCAAATACACGGGCTAGCTGCACTGATCTCCCCAATTCCCAATCATAAAATGTTGAAAACCGGCAAATCTTTCGATGCATCGCTAAGCTACACAGGTATCTATAATTATGTAGTTCCCGTGCACATATATGGCTGTATACAACTGTAAGCCTGCACTGCTCTTCAAATGCCATCAATGTAGACACTTCCTTGCCCACAGTGGCGATACTATCAGGAATACGGAATATCTTGAGACGGACTACGCAACCTGTCATCAATGTTTACTATATGCGGCAGTGTATTGCGAGGGAAGACGTGATACGGGATCTCGACTAATAATCACTCATGCAATCCTCTAAAGTAGGTACTTCGTAGCCAATGCCCATTGCTACGCATACGAATATGTAGTTACCAGTGCCAGCTACCTGTAGCCTGTCACTCTACGTGATGCTTGTGCCTGATGAGTGACTTTTGTCTAGAAGCGTCAACCCCGTAACTCTAATAAACTCCGTGTAGTGTTAGCATCTTGTCGAAGTACGGCCATCTCTGAGTTCTTGTATATACAAACAAAAGAAAAGACAACGGGCGCACAAACTAAAGACATCATAGTTGCCAATGCATCACTGCACCCCCAATTATGGCTGATAGTAAAGTTATATAATAAGAAAAGGGATGCCAAGTGCAAGATTCGAACTCGCGCGGAGATTTCGCCCCAGAGGAAAACCTCAACCCCTACACCCGGTCTGTCGGCGGACCCCCGCCTTAACCACTCCGCCAACTTGGCTTGGGCATGGACTACTTCAGATAGTTGATCTACCTGAGAGGCGGGTAGTTGTATGGTGAGGAAGTAGTACATGTTAGAGAGAAGGGCGCCGTATCAGAGATGAAGGAGGAGAGATGCATGGCATGGGGAGGAAGGCGCGGACGAAGAGGGCGGGAGAACCGGTGATGCTTAACTGTTAGCGTAAAGCACCAAGTCCCTCAAACCTTAATTATAGGGAACTGTGGTTGGGCTGAAACTCTGGCCATGGGTCTCTGCTCATGTACTTGAGAGCATATCTCTTGCGCGCTCAAAGCACCCTCGAAGCTCCAGGATCCGCCTTCAAGGGAATCGCTGATATCTAGTAGTTACTGGGCATCAAACGACAAGACTATGACTGCCGTATTGTCGATCCAGGTGAATGTTGCCATGATACCTAGTAGACAGAGAATCAGAGATTGGGCTTAGGCAAGCCGATTGCGATCTATACAGTTAGTAGCATTATAGGGGAAAACTAAAGTGAACCTCGCGAGGGAACCCGCGTGTTATCCTCATCTAACTTATAGAAAGATTCAGAGGGTATTAAGCGATTGCCTTGCAAGAAAGAATCAAGATTACTACTAAAGAAGTGCGAGTAATTAACTGCAGAAATCAGCCAATAGGAGGCTAGGTTTCATGTATAAATTATAAAGGGGTAAAAAGGGGGTAAAAAGGGGGAGAACCACGGAGAGATCTAGCAACTTGGCCATCTACAACACACTTTTAGCTCTTTGCCTTAGTTTTTGGTCAATTTTGGATTTTATTTATTCATTTCGTTCTCTTTCTATTTGATCAAAAAGTTTCCCATCCATTTAATTGATATTTACTAGTCTTGGATGCGTACAAGTCAGTTTACCTCCTTAGCCAGGGCCTCGGAAGCAAGTAAGTTCACCCAGGCCATTTCACTACAGAAATCTCCGTGCCACCACTAACTAACTAAACTACATCTACTCTCCCTTTTCGCTCACTAGGTTGCTTTGAGCTGTACGATCTATTAAACTGCTCAAGGAAAAGGACAATAACTTAGCCGCTCTGTAACGCAGCATAGATAGGCTGCCGTTCACTCTCCTATGCCGCCCTTTTATGCTATTACAAAAGGTAGGTTACGATGAGTCAGCAGACCCCTTCTTACTGAGGGTTTGATGTTACATATGGCAATTCAATATATGACCCGCAACATTGACCGTTCCAAGATTTTGCGTTGGATACCCAATTAATATCATAGTTTCTTTGCTCTACTCGGGAGCGGTAGTGAAACTCATGCTGAAAACATATCTAGGTAGTTTTTTGACTGTCATTGGCTATCTAGCGTGCAATGTTCCACAAGCAGTGTTTCCAGGAATTGAGCAAGGCATTCGATTAGCCAATGGGGCAGGCCCATTTCTAGTTTTACAGGTACTTTCTGCCCAATGATTAGCTAAGAATCTTTTTAATTAATCCGAGAGAGCGCTGCAGACACTGATATCAAAAATACCGGGTTATCCATGAGTGTAGGGATACCGAGAGAGTGGCACACTACGCAGCAAAGGGAACTTGACGAATCACATCCCATCGACTTAGCCGCGCAGAGCGAAATGAAACAGCCGGCCGCCCTTTAGTATATAGTTCATACAGGCCTTACGAGGGAATCAATAAGTCTAGCTCTTTGACAAAGATTTTTGGTAACTTGAAGGTGTTTATACCTGTCCCGAAGGGACTCGCGCACAACAGGAGCCAACGGTAGTTCACACGTAGCCGAGTTCTCATACCTGATGCATAGGTTGGCACGAATTATCGACCAGTCATCAAGAATTCTTCGCAGTTCGATGTGTACCGTGACTTTTTACGATCCCTTACGTCTTCAACTCTTGGTCCCTTCGATTTGCACTGTACTGTATACTGATTGAGAAAACAATAAGAAAACACGAATTACGCGCAGTCTATTCTATTCCTTGATCTCTCGTTCATTACTATTTGGCCACATAATGTCCAAGATTTGCAGGCAGATCTGTTACATTCTTATAATCACCTTCATTTGACCCATTTCTACTGTCTCATTTATCGCGCTATCACGACGCAGATATTTTCAGCATTTTCATTCCCATTACTCAACCCATTTCTTTTCAATAACCCCCGACGAACCTTCATCATGGTTAAGGCAAACATTCTCTATTCAACACTTGCTGTGTTCCTTTCGTGCGGTATTGCCCTCGCAGCCACTATTCCGCACAGAGCGACTCGTGGCTTACGACATGCTACTGCTTTACCAGCCAAATCGGACGTTCAACCGTTCTCAGTTACAATAAAGCCTCACGATCCGAGCTCAAGTACTAAAGTCCTGGCAGTTAAGTCCCAAAACATTTCAGCTTACATGCTTGGAGATGCCCCTGATCCCACAGATCATGTACATCAACTTGGTTTCATTGCTCAACACGCAGACGATGGTTCCACAACGTATTTCATGCCACCACCAAGCAGCAGCCCCCCAGGGGCTGCAATTGCTTCATATGCCCCCAACCTAAGCTGGAAAGTCGGACCCGAAGGCATGAACTTCAAGACACCGGGCACGGTCATCAGTGGCCGAATTTACGTAGTCGACGGTTACCTCAACTTCTACTCAAACAAAGATGGAGTGATTATCCACCCGGATCCTCATAACACGGGCGATGTAGCCAGCCGGGAACGTTGGGGATTCATCGAATTTAGTCACGTCAAAGACCCCAATGGCAATGAAGACATGACAGTAAATCTGTCATTCGTTGACTGGGTCAGTCTGCCACTGGGTATGTCTGTCAAATTCGAAGATGGCAACAACCAGACAACCGTGGTCATTCCCGGCCTTAAACCCGACGGCCTCGTCAAAATATGCGAATCACTGTCCGCTCTCGACAGCTTCTGGCCTAAGCTGTGCATCAGAGGGCGTGACAACACACCACTCCGTGCCTTGTCACCGGAAAAATACATCAGCCTACATGCAGATGACCACGATGCTATCAGCTATTACGAGCCCTATATTGACGGAGTTTGGGAGAAGTACAAGAAAGCTGATCTAAAAATCAACACCCAAGTAGACGGACCAAAATCCGATAAGAAGGTCGACGATGGGCAGATAGTGACTTGCCGCGTGGGTCAGTCAGACAATATCCTCCACTGCGACAACGACGCAGGGGATTTCAATCGTCCCGTATCTAGGGACATCTACGGATGTAATTCAGGTCCTTTTGCAAACCCTTCAGATGCAGCTGCGGAGTCGTGGTCCCGCGCGCGCGTGCGGCCACGCCTATGTGCCGCCTTCGTTCGTTCAACGCTACATCTGGACGCTGTTCAGCCCTCACACAAAATCAGCTCCGACAAGTACTACCAGCAAAATATCACAAACCACTACGCCAGGCTAGTCCACGAGAATCTCATTGACGGTATGGGATATGCGTTCAGCTACGACGATGTAAATCCTGGCAGTAGCGAGAATTCGGCCGGCTTAGTTTCGACGTCGCGCCCTTTACAACTGATGATCTCCATCAATACCTAGAATGCATCATCATCGGGTTCACGTCAACACCCAGCGGTGAAAGTCTTGAAAATGCCGTTACTGTGACTATCGCCACGTTTATTCGAACCCAGGACAGGTCAATATCGGCGGCTCGCGGGACGAGTGATAGAAGCGGGCAAAGGCTCGCGTCATACTTTGCATACAACCATGAATCCGCATTCAGTTTGTTCAAAATTGTCCCTTGAAATTAACCCCGAGACTGCTTAGGCTGTGGTTTCGCCGATTGGCGAGACTATATAGGATATGATGGACAGGTGCGTTCTACGCGCCCAACGTCAGGACATTGGGTGATAGGAATGGTGGAAAGAAAATGCAAAATACCCACGAAACCTAACAGAGCCCAGAGTTAGTAGGAGTAAAGGCATTTGAAAAGCTACGCACGCAGTCGCCTTAGATATATACAAGGGAATCAGAAAGCACAGTAGAATGAGCTCGCTCTAAATGCAGTAGATCATCGTGAACCATATCAGAGTGATAGTTAATTACATCTAGTGATCTATGAGTCATAACACACACCTACAGATACACACTAGCGTCGAAGACTTCTCAGGGTGCGGCCGGTATCTGGCACTTCACCCCATGAAGCATTACTGCGCCGTAGCATGTAATAGTAACAAGACACGTAACTCCCTGCCCGATTATGACTTTCATAGGGCTATTTTGTATGCATTCACCCTGGGCCATCTAGAGCTATTGTTACAGGGAATCTGCAAGGGCAACTGAAGCCGAAAACACATAACAAAAAGCGTGTATATTGCTAAAGTGTGGAGGAGTGCATGGCCTTGCGAAGTAGGTTAAAATAGTAGGTAGGGCTAGTGCCGGGAAATAGTTATCTTACCCCCTGCTAGAGGTGCCTTGTCGAGTACCCGCGCTAGGGAAGGATTTCGGGACCCGCTATACAGGGGGTTTTCCCGTGCAAGTTGCTGACTAGTTAGGTCCCTTTCACTCACAACCTACTGTGTATTCTATCTCTCTTGGCGGCATATACTGCCCTAGAAACTGGGAAATCTGATAAAGCTCGGATATAAACCCTCCTCAAGAAGGACTGGAATACTTAAGGTCCTAAGTAGGTAATGATATAGAAACCCTGCTACCCTTGTACTATAATGTTTAAGGCTAAATGCTGGCTACTTTCACTAACAAGACAAATAGCCATACATAACTCCAGAAAGATCGCACTTTTGGTTAGCGAAAATGCATAGCTACCTACTGATTGTGTCACATCCCTTAACCCTTGTTATAAATACGACACAGACCCGAATACGATATTCACGCAGACTCGGATTCACATCCTCCTAGAATAACAGAAGACCAAGCTTGACTCAACCCTCAAAACCCTGTCACAGCTAGCCGCACAGTTAGGACCCAAAGGAATCATCCAGAAATTAGTTTCAGCTGCGAGTCCAACGTTACTTTCATGCTTGGATACATTGACTGAACTGCCAACCAGGCTCGC